GAAAATTCTCACTTCCGTTGGATATGGTCACGTCGATTGGACTGAAGGTGGTCGGCCAGAGGCCAATATCCAACGCCTGATTATTGCTCTTGCGTCTAAACCCAGGTATGATGATGCACCTAAGCCACTCCAGCCGCCGGCGCATGTCCCATTGACAGAAATCGTAGGGAACCAAGAGATCATTGATACATATATCCATGAATATACCAAGGACTTCCACGCACTCCCCATAACGATTACACAGCAAGCCGTGATTCCCGCTCTCACGGGACACTGTGTGCTTGTTACTGGTGCCTCAGGGAGTCTCGGCTGCCACATTGTCGGCTATCTCGCCAGGCTTCCTAGTGTCCACACTGTAGTCTGTCTGAATAGACGGACTACGGTGCCCGCTGTCATCCGTCAAGAGGAAGCTTTAAAGGTCAGGGGAATCTCGCTCGATGACATCTCCCGGTCAAAGCTAGAGGTACTCGAAGTGGAGACCGCAAAACCATTGCTTGGGCTGCCTGTGGAAACCTATCAGAAACTCGTGAACACCGCAACCCATTTAGTTCACAACGCTTGGCCAATGAGTCTTACCAGACCTATCCGAGTCTATGAGAATCAGTTCAAGGCTATGCGGAACCTCATCACTCTTTCACGGGAGGTAGCTGCACTCCGACCGGCACCATTCAAGTTCGGCTTCCAATTCATCTCGTCGATCGGGGTAGTCGGCTACTATCCACTTCGCTATGGAAAATCCCTTGTTCCAGAAGAGACAATGACGGCGGATTCTGTCCTATCAGTCGGATATGCTGAAGCAAAGCTTGTTTGCGAGCGCATGTTAGACGAAACGTTGCATCGGTATCCAGATAGATTCCGACCAATGGCAGTAAGGATCGCTCAAATTACTGGCTCAACAAGCAACGGGCATTGGAATCCAGTCGAGCATTTTTCGTTCCTGATCAAATCCTCGCAGACATTGAAAGCGCTCCCGGACTTTGATGGTAGCCTCTCTTGGTGTCCAGTCGACGATGTTGCCGCAACACTGGGCGAATTAATGATTTCTGACACAACGCCTTATTCGATCTACCATATCGAGAATCCATCAAGGCAGCCGTGGCGAAAAATGGTGAAAACACTGGCCCGGTCTCTTGACATCCCACAAAGTGGCATTATTCCTTTTGACCAGTGGATTGAACGAGTTCGAAACTCCCCAGCCTCGGTCAACGATTGTCCAGCCAAGCAATTACTAGAATTCTTCGATCAGCATTTTATCCGAATGTCATGTGGGGGTTTGATACTAGATACGGCTAAGACGAGGGAACATTCAACAACTTTGCGGGAAAGGGGCCCTGTAGGCCCAGGTTTGGTGGATAAGTATATTTTGTCGTGGAAGGCCGTGGGATTTCTAGATTAAGTACGCGACAGTATTTAGCATGCAGTACGTGACGGGTCGGTCATGCTGCTATGATAGGCAACATTTGAAGATTACTTCTATTTATTTTTAACAATTGGTACCTAGATGCACATGTGTAATCCCATTTGAGCCAAGGCTTGCTCGCCGTCCTTGGAGTCCATATAACCCTTCTCTTACAGCTTTGGAGAGAAGCGACTCAAGGCCCGAATCTTCGCCCCATAGAAATAGAAGATGATGGGAATCGGGATCATCGCAACGGCAAGAAAGCCGAGCAGCGACATAGCCCAGTCCACTCCTAACCTACCGTACATTGCCGACCCGAAAAGGGGAAACGCAGCACCGATCTTTTTCACGTAGTTAGTAACAGTATATCTCCAAGGAGCTATACACTTACCATGCTTCGAATAAGAGTGTTTGCAGACAGAGCCGAATTGGCAACCACCAAATATACGTCAATCAGATAGTTCAGGCCTTGCATCCAGATCATCAAAATCCCCATTCCGATTGGCACTCCTGCAATGGCCTGTGGCACCCACGAGATACTCGGGCTCGATGTCCATCCAAACCAGAATAGCCCGATAGGCAAAAGTAAAGCCGCAACAATCATGGGGGGTAGACGATCTTCCGGTACGACGGAACCATTGTGTAGCTTAGGAGCATACCACAGGCGCGTTGCGATGGTGACAAGGAGGCAACCCAGTAGGACCCCCACTAGGATGCCCAGGAAAGGCAAGGCCGCAATTCCCAAGGAAGTCCAACCCCGGACCTCGCGAAAAGCGATCGGGTATGCCACGAAGAAGAGGTACAATATACCATAGATAAGCGAGATGTAAAGAGTCATGCAGACGAGGATCGGCTCCGAGAAAAGCATATGAAGCGGACGGAAGAGATATTTCGTCAAGATTTGGCTAAACGTCGGCGTGCTTTCATCCAGACGGGAATGGTAGGCCCAGATTCGTGTCTCATTACGGAGCCGACTAGCGCGGCGCTGGAGGAGAACTGGGTGGTATGTCTCGGGTAGGGTGAGGAGAGCGATGGTGCCGAAGAATGCGGCTGGGATCATGGTGATCCAAGCAGTCCAGCGCCATCCTAGAGATGAGTCGACGATAAATCCCCCACTGCTCATGTCATGATCAGCCCACATTTAGACCCCATTTAACAACAACATCATCATCATCAATCAAAATCACGTACACGATTGGTCCAAATATCGGCCCAACAAAGGTAGCCGCGGAAAATAAAGAGACGGCAATGGCGCGCTCGACTGGACCCCAAAAGTCTGCCAGAGCACCAGGAATGATCGCAAGAGCGGAGGTACCAAAAAACCCCAGCAAGAAACGTGCAAGCATCACGGTTTCGAGGTTCTGCGCAACCGCCACGGGAACCTGGAAGATGATAAAGATGGCGTATCCGATATAGAGAGGCCTTAGTCGGCCATATAACTCCGACATGGGTCCCCAAATCAGTGGTCCCACTGCAAAGCCCTGTATATCAAGGTTAGCGTCGTGGGTGAGCCTTCATTGCGTGTTGTTTGTTTTTTACTTACCAGCACAGTCAAACTGGTTCCTAGAGTCATGACCTCTTTTGAAACATGAAACTCTTTGGAAGTGACCGTGGTCGCAGCACTAAAGACACTACTGGAGAAGGTCACCCAGATGGTCAATGTGCTGAAGATGCAAGTGATGAGCGATTTCCTCCAAAAGGGAAAGTTCATGGGAAGTTCTGGATCATCAGGCCCATCCCATTCAACCAAGTGAATATCCGCGTCATTGGGCTTCTCGCCAGATGAATGATCTCGGGCATTCTCCAAATCGGTGACAGAAGCGTTCGTCGAAATTGGGATGTCAATTGCATCCTTCATCTTTGGGTGATAGCTCGTGTTTTGGTGTTGATACAGTGGGCTGGCAAGATGCCAATGAAAAAGAGGTCGACATGATATAGATGCGAGAAAGGGCCATTTTACTGCAATGGTTCATAAGAGCAGACTCACTTGTACAACACAAAGGAGCATTCATCTGTAGAACCGTTTATCCGTAGTCGAGATACTGTTTTCCCGAGCCGAGAGTTTATCCGATTGGTCAACAAAGAATCCTACCTGGTCAGCCATGGATGCAAGGGGGTATGCCACCTATAGGTTGGATCGGAAGCATGATGTTCGTGCAGACTCTATCAGCTGCCTATCTTAGAAGTAAGCATATTGCAGAATAAGTCAACTGTGGTGATGACCCGGCCAGGGGTCGGAAACTAATTATTACTAATAATGCTGCCTGAAGATGCCTTAATATGTCTAATCATACACCGCCTTTTGGCACCGCTCTTACAGTGTATTGTAAATGAAGCTCTCAAATGGAAGCCTCCGGGTAATATTGAAGCTATTCCCACCACACAAATCTTTGAAATCTTCCGTTTCTAGGCGTTGAAGCCTCTCATACCATTTCAAACCCCCGACCATACATATCGCCAATCTCATCGATTCCACTGCCCCCCGACCGTATGTCACTATCTGTCCTCATCGCCACCTATTCTTATCGATCCCGACCGTACAAATACGACCCGTACAAATCGCTATCCATCCCCATGTTGGATTTCAACCTTTTTACTTACTTAAGCGCTCTGTTATGGTAATTCAGGTATTCATATTTTCTGCCGGCAAATATTCAGGCATCAAAGGCATCCACATTACTAATATTAGTTTCCGACCCCTGGCCGGGATACACCTTCGCAATTGTGGTATATTGTTATCGATAAGAGATGGAGGAAAGGGAGAGAACCAGTCTATCTACATGGAGGCATGTGGAAGCATGTGAGAATGGGTTATCAACGTTAATTTTGTTGGAGGCCGTGGGAGATTCGAGACGCTGTCCACATCTCTACACCACGTCGCGACAATACCGTGATACTACGACGGCTGCAGTGCCATACGTTACAGGCTACTCTCCAATTTGTATCACCGGATATCACGGACGCATGAACACAGTTGCTTCTCTGTTCCCATGCTTACCTAATCAATGCTCAGGTGTCTTATGGAAGCTTGTAATACATGGAACCATGGATTACCATAACTCGTGTGCAAATGATTGGATCACATCCATTCAAAGATATGATTTAACCTAATTCGTCTAGCTTCGGACCACGGGCCGAGTACAAGCCTACATACCCAGGTAAGGTAACATACTGATTTGTTCTTCTTCTACACATAGACAGCCCTGGAGATATTACACCAAAGATCATAGCTCGGTGGCCCATACGTTTAGATTCATAGTACTCCGTAGACGATATTACCTAGGTATCTGACTATCAATGAGATTCAATTCTGGAAGCACTCTTGGCTGGGGCTGCTCTACGATTGGGGTTCTCTTGAAATGATAAATGGGATTAGCCTTGCTCTGGTCTGAGACATCCATGGGATGACCTGAGGTTAACCTACTATACACAAATGTCATATTGAGGTTACGCCTTGCTCGACAGATAAGATAGGTACCTAGGTACATATTAAAAGACTCTCTCTCACTCTTTTTTATTTCTCTTTTCTCCTCCTCTCCCATGTCAGAGGCCCGCCCATAAAAGTGAAGGAAACCATACATCTTCCTTTCTGGAAATAAAAATGGCTGTCTATCATGATCTCGACTGGCTCTTCGCCGTCGGTACGCTCTTCTTTATTCTCTCCGTTTGGGGAATCGGTGCCAACGTATGTTCCTTGTTTTGACCCTCAACTGATCAAGCACTCATCTCTTTCCTTTGCACAGGATGTAGCCAACTCGTACGCAACCTCGGTCAGCTCCAGGTCCCTGACCTTGATCCAAGCTGGTATCCTCGCCACTATCACCGAGTTCATCGGTGCCATCGCCCTTGGACAACAGGTTACCTCGACCATTCGCAGTGGTGTCTTTTCCATCGACCGCTTCCTAGACTCTCCTGGTGTGTTGATCATGGCCATGGTGGTTGCTGAAGTCGGTAAGTTTCGTTTCTCTTTGCCTTCTCTCTTTGTCTTCTCTTTCCAGCTCCCAAGCCAAACGTCTCAATTGCTCACTCTTTTGTCTACTTATACAGGCTCCTCGATCTGGCTTACCGTCTGCACCTACCTCGGATTCCCAGTGTCCACCACCCAATCCATTGTCGGTGCCCTCATCGGTGTCGCCATTGCGGCGAAGCTCCCTGTCCACTGGGGTTGGAAGTCTAACAGCGTTTCCCAAATCGCTGCCTCTTGGGGTATTGCACCCCTCATCTCAGCCGCATTCGGTGCCATCATCTTCACCAGTATCCGGCTGCTGGTGCACTCGCGTGAGGATCCCATGAAGTGGGCGCTGCGCGTGATTCCATTCTACTACGCCATTACTGCTGCTATTCTAGCATTGTTCATCGTCATTAGCGGTGGTCACGGAATCCCAAAGCTCGAGGACTTGGGTGCAGGCAAGGCTTGTGGAATTATCATTGGCGTTTTTGCTGGTGTTTGGGTTATCAGTGCGATCTTCTTTGTCCCTTACTATTGGCGCAGCCTTGTGAAGGGTGACTCCCGCTTGCGCTTCTGGCACATCCCCATGGGTCCTCTTCTCTGGAAGGACGACTACACCTTGTACCTCCCTGGTAACCCGGACAAGCGTATTGTGCCCAACTACTATGAAAGCGATCTGAAGGGCGAGACGGACAATCTTCGCTCTGGTTCTGCCACTGAGGCTGAGGGACAAGATTCCACCCTGGCCACCCCAGAAATTGAGCCCCTCAAGAGTGATCCCAGCGCTGCGGAGAACGATGCCCGCAGGGCTGATGCCAAAATTGCGGAGAAACATCAAAAGGAGCTCCAGGCTCTAGACACTCTCCCTTGGATTCATCCCAAGCGGATCTTTGCCACCCTCAAGCTTGTTCTCACGTATGGTGTTACCCGCGATGTCATTCACCACCAGTCAAGGGGTCTTGATCATATCCATCAGCATGTCCCTGTCTTTGACAACAGAGTTGAACATCTATGGACCACTGCCCAGGTTTGCTCTGCTATGGTACGCTCCGCTCCCCTCTCCCTCTGTAAAACTCAGCTAACAAGGCAACTAGATCATGTCTATCTCTCACGGCGCCAACGATATCTCGAACGCCATTGGCCCATTCACAACCGAGTACATGACCTGGCACTCCGGCAAGGCTTCCGCCAAGACTGACACCCCAATGTGGATCAAGGCGGTGGGTGGTCTTGGCCTCGGCTTTGGTAAGTCTCCCGAGGTCCTTTCTCCCCCACCTCCAGTCTCTTCCACGCATTTACTAATGAACGTCAGGCTTCTGGACTTTCGGCTACCACATCATGCGCAGTCTCGGCAACCGCATCACCAAGCACTCGCCTACTAGAGGTTATTCTGCAGAACTCGCGGCGGCCTTAACTGTGCTCCTTGCTTCAAGATTAGGCTTGCCAGTCTCAACTACTCAATGCATTACTGGTGCCGTGGTCGGTGTTGCGTTGATCAACATGGATCTCAAGAGTATCAACTGGAAGCAACTCGGCAAGATTTTCTTCGGCTGGGTCCTGACTCTTCCATGTGCTGGTCTTATCAGTGGAATCATTATGGGCATGGCTCTGAACGTTCCCACATGGGGTCGTTGAATGGTTTAATTTGAGAGGGTTGCTAAGCACTGGATAGCAGCGGATATGGTATGTGGTTTTCCACCTACCTCCACTTCATGCTTGCTTTTATCCCCGTACTAATGGTCTGAATTTGCACTTGAGTCTTTTTTCTAAGTCTTTAATAATCTTAATTGAACTGAATTCTATTGCTAAAGAACTGGTACGTAACAATGAGTATAAGATTCTGGCGGAAATCAGGTGTATGGCGAGCGTACTACCATTCTTCAGCTTAAGTGTTATTTATTATGGTATCGCCATGGTAAAAAAACACAGCCCCTGAATCACCCCAGCCACATAGTACTTCCATGATCTGCTCTATGATCTGGTCCTCTGCTTCTTTAATCTTATCCAAGACCCTTGGAAGCTTCCCCAATTCCCCACTATCGGACTGTCGTAATATCGATCCAGTTTGTTACATCGTCAACTTGTACAACCAGCCCCAACGTTATATCCACGTCATCATGGAGGGATCTCTGGGCAAATCATCGATGAGTACGACGAAGCAGTGATCGTTCAAAGAGGTCAACCCGAAGAAAATGAACAGCGCATACGTTTTCAACAAAAGATTCATGGTCTCACTCTACAAGTCAAATCTATTGAGGTGGACGAAACGATCAAAGCATTTATTACTAAATTTCATAATATCGACGTGCTGGTATATGCCTACATCCGGCTAATAGATTACGAACTAGCAAGATCGCTCAACTTGATTTGACACATAACCCCGTCACAATTTGACTATATCGTACTGGACCATAAACTTTCGCTCCAACCCGACAAAAGCTTTCTTCAACAGAGCAATGACACGGGTTCCTTGATTTTACCTATTTCGAAAGGCGATTTGATACACCCTTCAGGCACAATACTGCCCGGTGGGCTTTATCTATCTAGAGGTGGAAGAGCGCAAAAGCAGCACCTAGTAGAGTTATCGCTCCCTTGGGGGCACTGAACTGAGACGACGCAGCACCAGTCGACTGCAGAGCAGACGCGGACGTACTGGTGGATGAGGCGTCGGCAGAGGTGAAAGAAGTTGTCGTGGAAGAAGAGGTAGAAGAGGAAGAGGTGGTGGAGCCTGCGATGAAGAAAATCTGTATTAGTATCATCTCCTTATAATATTGTGCGGAGTTGCATCATGCCTGAGGAAGACAAAGCACTAGTCGAAGACGTGGGTGTTGAAGACGCCGATGACGTAAGAGTGGAGGTGACGGATGCAGAAGTGGTCGCATTAGATGTCACGGAAGAAGAAATGGAAGAGGAGGAAGAGGAAGAAGAGGAGGAGGAGGTGGTGGTGGAAGAAGACGAGGATGTGGTACCATCATCCGAAGCGCCCTTCTTGACAGTAAAAATGTCACTGACGGCGAGCTGTCCCGCGGAATCAATTATCTGGATCTCGTAGCTATCTCTAAGACATGACAAAATTGTATTAGTGTTGTTCCTTTCTATTCACACACTATGTATCTTACATACCCGTTGGAAATGCTCGGGTTAGGCTGGGTCTTGTATTCGCCGGCAGAAGTCTTGACGTTATCCGCCAATTTGGTCTGGAAGGAGCCATCCTGACTTCGAAGGAGGATACTGATTACTGAAGGATCACTGGACTCGCTAGTGAATTTGATAGTTTTGGCAGTGGAGAAATCCCACACCGTGTCTGATGACGGGGTGGTGACGGTGATGGCAAAAGCCGATGAGAGGAGGCTCAGGGCGGCGATGGTGAATGAGTAACGCATTTTGATTGAATAGAATTATTGAATTGCTGGAGTGGGAGCTGAGGGGGATGTCCTAATGTTTCCCAGGAATAGACTATATATTTTTGGTCGATAGACCGGGAACTAGATTGTTCTAAGATCTACATATGTATATACAGAAATCAGTAACTTTCAGCCCAAAGCGAGCGCATTGGGAATACGAGATAGTGTAATCCTTGCATAGAGAAGTAGAATATGATCTCCGGCATGAGCTGAACCTCTTGTACGGAGTAGTGAGACTGGAAAAAAAAGTCCAGTGGTCATTCTAGTGCCCACGTAGGGTAGCCACGAACAGGCACTACCCAGGTGTTCCAAGGCTACGATCAGCTTTGCATCAGTGATCCACTCTCTTGTGTTGGGTTCATCAATGTGAGCATTGCACCTTATCTTTCCAATCAAGTCTCCAAAACAGATTGTGTGCTGTAATCCTTGCTAATAAATGGTTTAAACCTCCAAGTAAGGGCTACTATCATGCCAACGCTAAGTACGCATTGTGACCTCTGGTGTTTGCCAATAATATATTAAACTTCGAACTAAGGCTTACTATCATGTTCCAAGGTTAGTGCTATAAGTGCAGGAAGTACGAGGTCGGCTCGGGAATCGAGCTTGTCATAATTGGAAATCTGTTTTCGTTGTATTGTATTCGTTATTTACAACTGGGAATGAATACCGGCCATGACTGGTAACATTCAACAGATAAGTTACATAACTAGTTAGTTAGTTATAGGTCTGCATGCTCACTAGTTAGTTATGCCAGCATTGTCTTACTGTGCTTGTGCCCAATAGGCAAAAGCGACTGCCGGAATTCTTGCCCAACTCTGTGCGGACTCTAAATTGTTACGTATCTCCTAATTTCCGTGGTAATTCTAATTCACTAGAGGTGATATGAGAGCAATATGATTAAATGTACGGAGTATCTGGTCTATAGTCAAACCACTGCAGAAACCATCGAAAAAGACGTCAATAACCAAAAACACAAACTGTTGCGGATTACATGAGACATGATAGAAACAGAAGGGATGGCGGCCTAGAGAATTAGATGAAAACGTAGGACGTGGTCAATGTAGCCGTGAGTATCAATGTGCTCATCTCCCACGACAAACCGAATAATGCAGTACTAGCGCCGGTGGAAGACTTTGGATTTGTAGAGGAGGCTGTCGATGTTTGGGTATCATTTGGACAAATGCTAGTGCTTCGGTTCAAGCTTTCAGTAGGATAGTACACCCGAGGCCCTCCATCCGAGCTGAGGTCGATACTGAGATTCCCGCTTGAATCAGTCACGAATGTTTTGCAGGACAAGATCTCGGTAACGTTTTGGCGAGAGGAAAACCCTGTGCCATCAGAGCCAAGCGTGATTTTGGTGGTGGCTTTAGTGGCTGGCTTAGCTCCCAGATTGGACACGACGCTCACAACCTGGTTGCCGGTAAATCCTTTACGCATAGCCAAAATATTTGTTGAGTTGTAGATTGGCAATGAGAGGTACGATAGATAGTCGCTACCTGACTTCGGGGCGAGTGTGGACTTTTCTCCGTCGCCGCTCGCATATGATCGAATGCGATTCAATGATTGGACAAGCAAAGGTAGGGACGTCGAGTTCATCGAGTATTTGGTAAGCCACAGGGCCTCCCGATTGACAGGGTTGAATGCACCTGACAGGTGTTGTTCTTCCCCGTAGTAGACTGTATTATCTTGATTAGTACGTATTTCTGGCTTCTGTTTCAATTTGTCGGAGTGCAACATACGGATGGGAATACCGTCAGCGAGCATGCTGATCGTGAGAATGTTGCGAGCCAGCTAATCAGGAGTGATAAAATCAACACGTGTCACAAAACCCTCGATGCACTCGACTTACCGATATGTCAGACGTATACGAGCCAAAGCGAGGAACGTCCTGATTCGATGTGAAAGTTCCCAGGGGGAGTACGTCCCCACAATGTGTCCTGACGTGGTCGATAGACTGTATGACCCTGTTCAAGTCTCCATCGGTAGTGTTAAAGCCCTCTGAGAGGATATAATACCTAAAATGTGTCAACAGGACCTTTGCTCATTTCGTTGAGCTACTCACAACGGATAATTCAAAAGTGCGCTTAGACTGGGCTGCAGAGAACAGTAACCGGATGCGTCTCTCGTGGCACCTTCGCCCATGGTGAAAACACCGGCTGACTTGCTGAAATCGGAGAAGAAGGCGGGGGCGATATTCAAAACACTGTCGATTCGCAAGCCATCAACTACGAGGGAATAATGTTAAAAATTCCGTTGGGCAGATAGGAATGTGTGCACATACTGGAGTAGTTCGAAACCAACTGCGAAACCCAGGTTCCCAGAATCTCCTGGACTTCCTGATCCTCGTTTCGCAGATCTGGAAGCGATATGGTGTTGTCTCCCATCCAGCACTGATAAATTATCAGCAATGCACTCATAACACGCGGCGGCAGACTTACATCCAGGACACAGGTTTCATTTGTGGGGTCCTCAGAAAGTAGCTTGTAGTCGTGGAAATACTTCTGATCATTGAATGGGTTGAACGTGCTGTAGTCGATAGTAGAGGCATTTCCAGCCCAGGCCATGTCACCGACGACAATGTCCAGCATCAAGTACTATTTTTCATGTCAGTTTCGTGAATAGACATAACAGCTGACGACCCACCATGTCACGGGCGTGCAACGCTGTGGATAATGCTTGGAGGTCATCGGAAGTGCCAAAATGGGAGTTGACGGAATACAGGTCGTTTGGCCAATACCCGTGGTATGCTATCATCCAGAAATCGTTAGTTCTCTATATCCGGTGACAATGTCGAGATGACTATACCTGCGAGATCCGCCGTGCGAGTTGACTCCTGGCTTTGCACTGGAGAGATCCAAACTGCATCGAACCCAAGTTCCTGAATATAATCCAGCTGATTGATGATGCCCTGGAAGCTCCCTCCACAATAATCTCCCAATCCTGCATCACAAGAAGCCGTGGTTGAGTTATCGGATCGCGCAAAGCGATCGGTGACCACTTGGTAGACCGACCGACCGAGCCATTGGTCTCGGGAAGCCGCCTGTACTGTCCCAATGGTAGTAACCACCAAAACATTCCACCACCACATTATGGGTGGCGTTTGCATGACAGGTGAAAGGAGAATCGAATAACAGATAGAATCAGAGACCAGAGACAATGAAAAGGTTACTTAAGTTAATATTCGAACATTGAATTGACAATATTTGAATGTTTGAATGTTTGAATGTTTGAATGTCATATAGATGAAAATGATGTACAGTACGTAACGGTATGTATGTATTGTATCGTATATGTATTGTCATGTAATCTACCGGCCCGATCGGCAGGTTTTTGTTGATTCTAACAATCCCGCCTTTGGACTAACTCATCCCAACCGACCGCACAGACCTCGGCATGGCTTCCGACACGGCAGACCGGCAGACCGGGGGGAGATGGGGGCTGATAGATTAACAATCATTGTCCATGTTTCTTTGATGTGGTAGCCACTGAGTAGAAGAGCCGCATTGTTGACTGCAATATAGCCCAATTCCACGCACAAGGGTTACGTGATATTATTGTAAGAAAAGTCCCTTGGGTATTTCCCATTCCCCTCTATACGAAGTACACTCTATGGTTTGCTTGTCGTTCCATGACAAGATTTATTGATCGGGTCCATATGGGGGATCTCAACCTGATAGCTGGGATTGCCAAGTCAAGTGCAGCCACAAAGTGCATAAATTGCCGACTATCAATTTCGCCATACCGAACAGCCCTAGCAACACCCTTATCATATCATATCATATCCATCTCTCACCTTTTCTCATAGGTCAGTCCTGTATCAGGTATGACGTGTTCTATCTTATATTAGGCGGTATACCGAATCTAGAATGATTTACACTTTATGATCAATGATTTACTTCGGGCAGCACTAGTCTTGAAAACTCGTACTCCGTATACGGAGTAGCTTTGCAGTAAGCACGTATGAATCGTTCTCCACCCTTTACAACTTAAGCTATCGAACGAAGACCCACTTCGTATATTCGGTAGTGTGTACGGAGTAGACCGCACCACTCCACTTCCAAGGTGCTATACCGATGCATGTCAGATCGTCTCCATTTCTATGAGACATGATGTGTCCGGCTTGGGCCTGGAACCGGATATATGCCAAGGCCTACCAAATATGGCATATGTCAGATTGAGATCCATCGTCCAGAATTTGGACCGCCCAACTAGGACCGCCCAACTAGGACCGCCCAACCGTTTTTGATATGCACATGCTTTGCTGTGGGTTGAGGCTGTACAGCAAAGCTGGCTCGGATCTCCATCCGTTCGCCTGGTTCATGCGTCTATGCAAGTTTACAAAACAGTCATTGGTACAATCAATTATTGCATTGGCCTGGCTAGCTCCGAAGCATTCAATATTATCTTTTACGTGATTATCTTCCGTATCTGCGCCCTATGAATTGTTCTATGTCTCTGCTTCGATGAGTTATACATTTCTTCCTGGTATGCACCCTGTGGTTGTTCTTTTGCAGTCGAGGCTCGAACAGCGTGTTCTGTGAATGTCACCATAGTGGCAATTCACTATTCGGAATGGAGTTGCTCACTTCTATCACTCTTTACCTTGTTACTGTTGTAACATTCATACGCACTGCACAATCCCTGCCATATCTCCCAGAGGAAGCGGACTGGAATCTCAATCAAAACCAGACAGCCACACATCCCCTCGACTACTCGGGTCGGTGGGATGCCCATACATATAACCCCTCGCCAGAGAACTGGCGATTCCCCTTTTACACAATATTCCTGGACAAGTTTGTAAATGGCGATCCCAGCAACGATAATGCAAATGGCACTCAGTGGGAACATATCTTGACCTCCAACGAGTTCCGCCATGGAGGTGACGTTCTTGGGTTGGTTGACACTTTTGATTATCTTCAGGGGATGGGAATCAAGGTGCGTTTGTTGCTTCGGGAAGACTGGATGAAAAGGATATATTGACCAAAGGCAGGGCGTCTATCTCGCTGGAACACCGTATATCAACTTCCCCTGGGCTGCGGATGGATACTCCCCGCTTGACCTGACTCTGCTAGACCATCACTTTGGTACGATCGAGGACTGGCGCACAATGATATCCGAGGCGCATCGACGGGGGATTTATGTTCTTTTCGACAATACCTTTGCAACGTATGTGAGGCCAATCTGCGCCACCTGTGATGTCGTCTGCTGATTGTAGATAGAATGGGCGATCTTATCGGTTTCCAGGGCTTCTTAAACAAGTCAGCGCCGATCAACCCCAACGAGTACGACCATGTATGGAAGTACGACCGTCGATACTGGGACTTTCAGCCTGGAAGTGAAGTTGAGAGTGAATGTCCCTGGGAGTATCCTCGGTTCTGGGATGATGACGGGACCGGCTTGAAAACTACAACCCTTGGTCCTTCATGTCGGAACAGTGAATTTGATCAGGTAACATTCACCTTCTTTCGATATAAAACACAACTGACCTCGACAGTATGGAGAGATTGCCGCCTTTGGAAACTACTCTGAATGGGAAGGGCAGATATCGAAATTCGCATTTGTGCAGGATCGTCTACGCGGGTGGCGGCCGGACGTGCTAGCCAAGATAAAGCACTTTTCGTGTTTAACGATCACCATGCTTGATATTGACGGATTCCGCGTTGACAAGGCACTGCAAGTTACCCTTGACTCTCTCGGAGAATGGTCCGAGTATATGCGGGATTGCGCCAAGGAGGTGGGAAAGGACAATTTCTACATCCCCGGAGAGATTGTGGCGGGAAACTCTTTTGGCTCGCTTTATCTCGGTCGCGGTCGCCAGACGAATCAAACCATCTCCAATGTGACGGAGGCGTTTATGATGACGAATAAGACAGACAAGTCAAATGAGGATCTCTTCTTGAGACCTCCGGAGAGGTCCGCGTTGGACGGGGCGGCGTTTCACTACACGTTGTATCGTGGTCTGAGCCGGTTTCTAGGGTTAGTTTATCCCCCTCGCCACTTTCAGTTTACTCGAGCTAACATCGTGTATGCCGTTTAGTCTAGACGGTATCTACACTGCCGAAGGCGACCCGCCAGTCAATTTTGTGGACACCTGGAATGGTCTTGTGGAGACCAACGATATGGTCAACACTAACACTGGTAAATTCGACCCTCGTCACCTGTTTGGTGTCACGAATCATGATGTCTTCAGGTGGCCGGGGATCAAAAACGGGACCCAAAAGCAGAATCTGGGTCTATACATCGCTTCGTTGCTCATGCCTGGAATTCCCATCCTCTCCTGGGGCGAGGAACAGGATTTCTACGTATTAGACAACCAGGCTGACAACTATGTCTTCGGTCGTGGACCCATGTCATCTGCTCAGGCATGGCAGCTTCACGGATGCTATAAGCTAGGGTCATCGAAATACGTTGATTTCCCTCTCGACCGCTCCTTGACCGGATGTCAAGATGATTCCGTCAGTCTCGATCACCGCGATCCTTCTCACCCAGTCCGAGGCCTCATCAAGATGATGTTTGAGATGCGTCAAAACTATCCTACTCTCAATGATGGCTGGTATCTGCAGCAATTATCCAACCAGACCTTCGACATCTATCTTCCAGGCAGTGATGGGACACCGACCGAGACTGGCATGTGGAGTGTCATGAGATCGCGCTTCGTGGATGCGCAGAATTTTGATGGCCAAGGCCAGGGCAATCAGAGCGTCTGGCTGGTGTATTCTAATAACAACAAAACAGTCGAACACCAATTCAACTGCAGCAGTAAGGAGACTTTGATCTCCCCATTTCCCACGGGGACAACAGTCAAAAACCTTTTTCCACCGTTCGAGGAATTCACGCTGGTTAACAGCTCGACTATGCTTGGGTATGATTTCTATTACTAAAGTTGATTCCTCTGACTGACACAGAGTAGATTTGACGGATCTGACGTTCCCAACGGGTGTTATCCCAACCTTACCATGCCGGCCTGGGGGTTCAAAGCCTTTGTTCCGAAGGATAAATTCGTGCAGCCTTCACCATATATAACACGCTTCTTTCCAGGGCATGACGCCCGACTTGTGCCCCAGGGAACAAGTGGGGAGACGGTGCGAATTGGTTTCGAATTCTCCCAGCAGATGGATTGCGGAGAGATCACCAATTCGCTGACGATCACGTCTAAAGCGCTAAACGATGAGCGCCCGCAGCTTGACACGACCTCGGTCTCTTGTAAATCTATTGAAGAAACTGATGTTGTGACATGGCCGGGGGCACTCACTAGCGTTTTCAGCTATGAGGTAGATTTGGCCAATGTCTTCCCAGGGATTCACAGAGTTACAATTAGCAATGTGACCACAGCAGATGGAAACCACTCCACCGGTGTGAGTAAATTCCTCGGTATACAGGTCGAGAAAGTCACGATACTAATTGAGTCGCGCAGTCGGTCGACCACTTTCTTTTCCGTATTGGACAGATAAACAACCCGATGGTCTGGCCACGGTTGGCCAACTACAGTAGAACACTACTGTTTGATAGCCCCTCGTCTGAGGCTGAGCCCTTATCAGTAATGCCACAGGCCCCTGGCGCAGACATGTGGCGATACTCGCTGGACTTTGGAGCTACATTCAGTGCCTGGATGACATACAATGGCTTCAACACGTCGATCCCGGGCAAGAGCTGGACCGGCACTGCAAAGCAGGCCTGGGACGGAGAACACATCCTTGCCCAATACTGGAGCAAGTTGACCGGAAGTAGTGCTCACTGGCAGCACGGAGACACGCAATGGGCATACAAGCCCCCACGTCGCTTCCCAAACCTCTTCATCGAAGGCGAGTTCAACCAGTTTGGATATGATGCTGGCTATTCCAATAAGATGGCTCTTAGCAACGCCACCGGCCTGTGGGAAATCCACTTCATGGGCGAATGGCCCGTGCAGGTTGCATTTAACGCCTGGGGATTAAACGAGGACGGCCTGCCCGATCAAACACAGGTATTTGGAGACATCGATGGAGACAACGTCCTGGATCAAGTCCCTCCAGTCACGCTGCTTACCAATGTATTCAACGTCACTATCTCACCCCCTTCGCCCTATCTTTCCTTCAAGTTGTCCGTGGGTGACGGTGATCTGAAGGT